GACCTTACCGCGTCCACGGCACCACGGGTACCGGGGCGTACTACCTCGAGCAATTAGACGGAGAGCCATTACCACGACCCTGGAACGCTGCTAAGCTAAAGCAGTACTACAGTTAGAAACTACCGACACCTGGGACCTTCGACCAACAACACCCGCGCTCGGTCAACGAGGAAAAACGTCCAACTTCGTATAAGGCTAAGGTACAAGCCCGACATACGGCCAAAATGGCACAGCATCGCGCGGTCAACGATGACGATCAATAGTGCCCGACGTGGACAGCTATACCGAGCCCCACCGTCGTTGTACCCATAAGGCAGAACACCCAGCTCGCGATGGGCAGTTCACACCAAGGGCAGATAGTCCCTAACGGGCTCCACGCCCGACTGAGCAACTTCGCTCCAAAATGCCCGACATGCCATCAAGAATAACGGGCCATCTAAAAGGGTCAAAGGGAAGTCTCTCCCCTCGAGGACAACACTTAGGTTACGGGCACTCCTCGGGCCTATGACTTAGGCTAAAAATTCATGCAAATATATGATTTCAAACAAGGGCAAAACATCTAAAATGTAAAACAGCATTGATATAAATGCCCGAAGGCGATAAAACAATTATAAACCGACCAAGAAGGCCGGCGATGTTCATAACGTACAACAAACGGGCACGCAGGCCCAAAGAATACAAATGTCAAGGGCACGCAGGCCCGCTATCCTAGTCAAGTCTCCCCAGATCCATCATTGTCGGCGTTTTGAGAGTCGGGCGGAGGAACGATCACGCCATCCACGATCTGATGTGTGTGGCCGATACCCTCAGTAACCAGACCAGGGTTTAGCAAGGAGAGCTGACCGACCGCGGAGTTGAACCCATCCTCCAGGGCACCGACGCAATCTGCCTCGAGAAGCCGAATATGGGCGACCAGCTCCAACCGACTCTTTAAAGTCACTATGTCCTCGGGCTCGTCCTCGGCAGGTCGCATGGCAGTATTCATTTCCTCGATCTGCTGGGCCAAGCGTTCGACTTCGGCCCCCAGACGATCCCTGTCTGTCCGAAGAAGCTCCCCCTCCTCGGCCAACTTCCCCGACTTCTCCTTCTCCAGGGTCAACATCTCCCTCTCAGCATCGAGCATCGCCGTCTGCTCGCGGAACATCTCCTCGGAGCGTTCCAGAGCGACCTTCAACTTCCGCGAGCTCGAGGTCAGAGCCGCCTTCTCCTGCTCGAGTTCTTCAACACGGGCAGGATCCCCTCCATCCTCGGATAGCACCAAAGCCATCTCGGCCATTTTTACCAGCCCGTCCATGCTGGCGGCCAGATGCGCCTTCCTGTCCTCTTTACTCATCCTTTTTATGGCTGCAACTTCATCGGCAATCACTGTCAGAGGGAATCTCTCGAAAAAGCCCGCCTCTTCGAAGCAAGGGGGGAAGGCGAAAGACTTAACGGCACTGGCGTCCTCGCCAACAGTCGGACCACTTTCCACACGGGTCCTCTTCCTCTGTATCAGGACGGTACTAGGGTCGACCTCTTCAACTTCTGGGGTCCCATCCGACGCTGCCCCCGAGCTTGACGGCGAGTCCACCCTCACCGGCTGAGGAGCACTTGGACTGTGTGGTGGGCCCATCCTCGTCGCCTGTGGGGCCTTCACGACCCTCCTGTTCCGCTTTTGGTCGCAAGACAATTTCAAAAGCCTTTCATGTCGACCAGCCATCGAACCTGCAAAATAAAAGATGGGTTAGTCACGAGCAAGCTCATGAATAAATAACGAGCAAAGAAATTCAAGCAATAAACAACCTAACAGACGGGCAGCCTGCCTATATGTCTGGCACTCCACGAGCGCCTTGGTATCGATCGGACGGGACTCAAACGTTGGGTAACCATCTTTGTCCAAGATATCATCCCCTTCCCGCGTAGACCACCGGGCAGGGTGGAAGCTATCGACAAACCGGCAAAGTATGGCGTACGCCTCCCCGTCTTCCGAGCACATGTCCCCGGCAGCAGTATGGTAATAACCAGTCCCGTGCTCGTAGTGCCGGAACATCCAGTGCACGGGGACTTTAGCCGTACGGGCCAACACAGGATTCCCATCGTCACCTAAAACTGCCTCCCCGTCATCGTCGCTCAGGGGCTCCTCCTCCTCGAAAAGAGAACTTAAAGCAGAGTCGGTAACTGGCCGCACAACGTACCACTTATCTTTGAAACCCCTTACGGAGTCCATATACATTTTGAAGAGTCTCCTCGACTGCTTCAAGGAGACCCAACTATGTTTCCCTCCTCGGGACTGGCGCTGTAGATGAAAAATCCGGAAGAAGAGCGGTATGGTCGCCCCGATCCTCAGATAGCGACACGTCAACTCAAACGCCCGGATGAAGGCGAGCGAGTTTGGATGTAGCTGGGACGGGGCCAGCGCCAGGTGAGTGAAGACCCCGATCTGGAAATCAGTGAAGGGCAGCCGCAGCCCTAGATCTTTGAACGCGATCTCATACATCGCGAAGCTATATTCCGGATAAACCGAGCAGATCCTTGCACGGGAGGACGGGCGCATGATTACAAAGTTCTTTTGAAAGTCGGGCTGGCCCTGGCCCGCTTCGATGACGGCATATGGATTCCGGTCGTCACGGCTGTAGATTGACGCGATCCCTCGGGGCTCGACGCCCACCCAATCCAGCAAGGGGTCGGTCACAGTATCAATCAGGTTGACCGACTCATCGACACTTTGTTCTTCACGATCGTGGCGCCCGGAGGAGCTCGACTCGTCCGCCATGGTTACCTGCAGAGCACGGGAAACCAGTCAATTGGGCACGAAGCCATACGCTCGACAAATCACGTCGTCCACATAGTCCGTTTTCACAAATGGTTGCCTCCTCGACATCCGGTAACTCGATATGTTCTCCCTCAAACCCGTTGCGCGGTCACTCTCCAACATGTCGACCCAAGGTATGAACATGGCGAGCCACACCATGAGGCCCACGGCCAAGATCATGAACATACCGGGCGCGATCATGAGTCAAGCGCCCTGGGTCATGAAGACCCCGGGCAGCGCTGAAGGTTATCACCTAAAACTATGAATATGTCGACCACAAACATGCGTTTGCCGGTCTTAGGCATGAATACGCCGAGCTAAGTATGAGTTTACCGGGCTAATCCCACGCGCACAGTCCCTAAAACATCTACAAACGCCAAAAATCATGCATTTTAACAGGAAATTGAAGAAGATAGACCACTTACTTGAATCAAAGAGTAGGATTTCGCTATGGAGTAGAAGGATCTGTGGCAGAAGTTCGCGACTGGAAAAAATTTGGAAGAGCAACAGCAGAGAGAACGCAGAAAGTAGAAACGTATTATGAGGCCCAAGGTTCCTATTTATAGTGATGACGTGGAATACCAAACGTCACCTCGGGCAACCAAGGAGTCTCTCTCCTCGACGCGCTGCTCCCAACGCAATGATGACCCTATCTCCATAGGGTGGCGACACAGTTCCCGAAAGATACCTCGTATGCTCGACAGACGCGCCCGGTGAGGATCCTCCAGGCATCCACCGCGGAAGATGTCTCCGAGCATGGCACGAGGAGGCCCTCGAGGGCCTACACCTCTGTCCCGGGCACGAGACCTCGATGAGGAAACGACCTGAGTTCAAGCCATGACTCCTCACAAAGGAACCACGACTTGGGGGGCTCCTGTTCTGGACTGGGCCCGACATGCCCAAGAGCATTGCAAAGGCCCAGCCCAAATGGACTTACAAGGGCCACGCCGACCATAGAGTACGACTGTGCCCGACGCGCAGTCGCCAGCTCGACAAGCACCTCTCCAGCTCGACATACTGTGGCCCAGCACCACATTCCGAGGTCCTGCTCGACGTTACCTCGAGCACCCTTGCTAGGGCAGACTCAGTCCACTGTTCCCCCAACGATACTCCGAAAAGACCGCGTCTCCGTCCGCCCGTACTTCACGCAGAACATCCAGGAAGGGGACCACGTGCGGGTCCCCACTACCCACGTAGAACCTGGCAGTTCCTCCATTGGGGCAAATCTGCCCGGCCCAATGAAGGAACCTTGGCCCAGCGCTGGGGGCTATAAATACCCTCTGTTTCCAGAGGGTCAGGTATTCATCATTCTAACCTTACACTTGCTGTTATCTGCTCGTACTCCTACTTACTTCAGCATCGGAGTGCCTTGCAGGTACCCCCCACCTCGTTCAAAAAAGCTTTCTGCTCGGAGCCAGCCGTGACGGTCCATTTCTGATCAGGTCAGATCACTTTTAGAGACACACCGTAAAACTTTAGAAATCACATAAAATTGCAAGAAGTATATTGAAACGTATGGAAGCATCTTATAAAATGTCCATAAATTCTCTAAGATAGATTATGAAAACAACTTATAGCTTATTTAAAAATAAATTACCCTTATCTTATCTTTTGCCATAGAAATAACTTATACTGTACATTAGTATGATAAGTGAGCGATTAAATAAACCATTTATTCAAACATAGCTTAAACTCCTAGCATGACATCTAATGATGAATGAAATGTTAAGCATTCGTCACATTTACTAAAACAGTAAATTTGTGCATATAAAAGATAAACGAAATAGCGTGTAAATACAAATCAAGTGACCATATGTGTTCTTCATCTCTTGGAGGCTTGACAAGTTTAAAAGACATCAAAGTTATGCCACTGAGAACCTGTAACACAATATACAAACTACAGTGATGAAATTTGCTTCCAAAACTCATTTAATAGCGTCCTTAATAATAATATTACTACTTAGTTAGCTTAAATGAATTACAATATATATATATATATATATATATATATATATATATATATATATATATATATATATATATATATATATATATATATATATATATATATATTAGAAGAAAAATCATGTGATTCATAATTTATTGTATTTTGAACAAATTGAAAACGGAAAGAGGAATCAATTGTTGTCTTAGCACATACCACGTCGGATACAATATGGGCAGCATCGGCGATAATTGCAGTGCATCCTTAAAGGTAACCGGTAAACGCTTTTCCAATGGCTAAGGCGATGTTGGCGACAAAACCAAGTCGGAAAATATTCTCCTCATCTTTGAGCGGCTGAGGAAGGTGATGATCCTCATCATGATGAGAATGACCAAAATGCCACCTCCCAAATGAGGAATTTAGAAGAGGAAAGTCTGGTGATGCATGTTCTGTAAATGAGATTGAGATTGTTGAATATACATTCCATAGTGCATCTATATTATGCTCGAGGACATGGATTTCCTTTATCAACAAACATTTGATTTGTCTGTAAGATTTCCACTCACTGCATATTCTGGAGCCAGATACCTGTAAGCAAGCAATAATTGATACTTCATGAGCTTAGACACAAATATAACAACTAATGTTGACAACAATTTGATTGGATAACGCAGTTCTAAATCTCAGTCTTAAAAGTTAAAACATAAGAAATTACTCTCTTCATCCTAAAAAAATAACGGACTCAATTGAATATACTGAATTGAGAGTGATGCATTGCAAGTAGTATAAATTAGAGAGTAAAATTGGATAAAAGTAATTAATGTTTCACTGAAAACCAAAATAGGTGATTCATTTTGAGACAAATTTGTTTTACAAATAGATTTGGGATAGTAGTCCCTGCAATCTTACCTTGCTTTTATCAATCTCATTTGCTTTCCGCTTCATAACATCCTTAGTTTCATTGATCTTGCTCTTTATAACTAGCTTGTGCAGCTTCTTTTCTTAACTTTCCATATCACAGTACTTCAGAAAATCAATTTAAAAAAATGAAATCAACCGAAAACACAATTAAACGAAGAAGCGTATACCGCCAAGCCAATCAACAGCCTTGGAAGCTTCATCATCATACTTGTAACACACAAAAGCGAAACCCCTCGAGTCACCAGTTCTAAAAATAAAAAATTTCAATTTCAATAAGCAAAAATAATGGATTTGATTAATCGATAAACGGGAAAATCAGAAGAAGAAAAAAACACCTTCGATCTTTGGGGATGAAGGTGTCAACGACCTTGCTATACTTATCAAAGAGCGGAAATAGGTCGTTGGGCGGTTGTACTTTGAGGAGAAAACTATGGTGTTAGTTAGGTTAAATATAAGAGGAAGAATTGCTACAATTTCAAGATTGGAATGTGAGAAGGCAGAATAGGAAAGGAAAAGAAAGTTTATTTTCTGGGTGAAGAGGAAAGGAAGCAGACATTTGAGCTTCCCAATTACCCAAGCAGTAAAACTTTCAAGTGTATCATAATAATGAAGGAAGGATCGAGAGTTTGCTAAGTCTCCAACTTGCTAAAATATCTATGTTTCTTTATTATATTTTGAGTGAAGATTCATTTTAGTTTCTTATAAAAATTGAAGAGTCTAAATTAATCCCTAAAAAAAATAACATTACTATTTAATCTATTATAAATCTAATATAAATATATAAAAATTAAATTATCTGGAAAAGAATATTTTACCTTTCTGAAATCAAGTGCAAACTTTTCTTATTCAATTGGCAAATATGGATTTTTATATCACTACTAACACCACATTGTTTTGGCAATTAATGTCACTTACGTGTCATTACTAAACTTTTTAATATATTATTTTATTTTTTTAATCACTTAATCACTCTATTTTTCTTTAAACGGACCCCAACTCTTCCAATACCTGCTTTCATCTATAAAACATGCAGACTATCTCATTCCTCTACACTGCATCTGAAAACTCTTTCCTTTCTGTTCGACAAATTTTCAAAGCTATCGCACGATCTACTTCTCCCTTCATCTTCCTTCAGATTCCCCTCAAACCAAAACATAATTAACATGAACCCCATCTTTTTCCCACCCTCATTACGTTGTTGTTCGTTTTGTTTATTTCGATGTTGTTGCTGTTTATATTCATGTTGTTGTTGCTCTTCATTTTTATTCATGTTTTTTTGTTGTAAATTGATATCAAATATTTTTCTCGTCTTATGTATATTCAATTTTTTTTTTAAAGTTTTCAGTCTGTTTATGAGTTGTTCTTTTTTTGTTAGATATACAGTATTTGAATTTGTTATTTTTATTAAGGTTACATATATTAGGGAAGAATGAGAAGCATACTCAATCCACAAAATAAATACTTTGCACAACTTTATGATTCATTCATCTTTTTATGTATTTCGTATTAAAAAAGATTCAAAGAAGAAAGACAAAAGCCTGATTGATGTGGTTTTTTATTGAAGTATGGTTTTTTCAATTACTCTTTGTTTTTCTTTTTCATCTTTAAAGTTTTTACCTTTTTACTTTATGAATGATATGTGTGATACGGTGGGAGAACTGACTATGGTTTTGCGTTTGTATTCGCACTTGTGCGGTTGAGCAAGAGTCGCCACCGACTTTTTATTTTATCCTAAAGGAAAGGTTAAAAAAGCACAGCAAAAACCTTTTGAGATATTTCGTGGGTTCGGGGGGTAGATTATGAAAAGGGAAGGTATTAGCACCATTTTCATCCATGGTTATCCATGGGCTCTTAGTTACTTGGTTTTTTAGATCACTTGCCTTGATTTTCGATTGCTTGAAAATGGTGTGTGTGTGTTTGTTTTGAAAATGTTTTTGAAGAGATGCCTTGTCTTAGGCGACTAATGTATTTGACTCGTGTTTGAGTGTTTTACAAAAGCGTGTATCTTTTCGAAAAGATGTTTCAAATGTTTTTGAGAGTTTGTTTGAAAGTGTTGTGGATTGTGGTTTTGAAAAGAAGGCAAGTGTTTTTGCAAATTGATCTCAAGTAACTAAGAGTTTTGTCTACCCTATTGTACTCAAAGGTTTTTGTTATGTTTTCAACCCTTTTAAGCAATTTTGTTCCACCATTGAAATTGATGGACAATCTTGCGTTTTAGGAAGTTTATTCGGGACGGGCGCGGGTCGTCGTATGGACCATGAATGCAATGGTGCCAAGTGTCTTTGGCAATTTGCTTTGAAGGGACTATGATCATTCCGTTTAGGCAACATTCGAAAGCGTCATCGAGGGACTTATGATCATTTGAATTTGTTTTGCCAAAGAAACTCGACGTGCAAGCATGGCCCATTTTGGAAGGCAACATGTGGGATTACCCTAGAGGGTGCAAGTGTGATTGTGTATTGATTACATGTATTTGTCTTGTATTAGGTTATCTAGCGTTTGATTTTATGTACATGCAAACCCTAGGTCTAACCATGGTATAATTGGAAAACTGTAAATTGCAGAAATGTAAAATCTACGCTATTACAAAATAGTATCCGGGAGTGGGGGTACATGTGTATGAATGGGGATGAGACTTATAGTATCCAATAAGTTACAACCAAATCGAATTTGCGATCAAAATGTAAATAACGAATATACAAATATAAGATAAGCAAATGTATATAGGGCAATGTGAATGTATTGTGTAAGTGTACAAGTATATGAGTATGTGATTATTTACAGGTGACAAGGTGAAATTAATGTATATTAGGGTATTTATTTAATTAATCTTGTATTTTGTATTTAGATATGTACAATAGAAAATGTTTTAATCGTATGTTCAAGTTCTAATTAAAATATGTAAAAATGATGTTTTAAGAAAAGAAAATATTTCCAAGCTTTGATTATGTATAAAAGAGTATATTTCATTTGCTATGTACAAATATATATTTTAATTAAAAGAATAGAAAAGGGTACTTTCAATTTTAATTATGTGATAAAAATGTATTTTATTATTTATCTATAAATATACACTTAAAAGAAAAGAAAGATATTTTTAATTTTAACCATATTGTATGATATGCACAAAATTATATTTAAATAAAGAAAAAGGAAAAAATGCTTTCAATCTTAATTATATGGGGTAATAAAAAAGACATATTTTTAAATAATGATGTATATTGACAAGAATGCATTTTTATTAAAAAAATATATTGAGTTAGAAGATAAACATATGGTTTTAAGATATTATGTATGAAAAAGAGAGAAGTTAGTAATTAATCAAATTGTTTGTATAAAAATGTTAGTGATTTTGTTGGGCTTCAGAGGAAATTAGAAACGGGTCAGGCCCATTGATTGCTGGAGCAGCGTTTTTAGGGTTTGAGAATTGTTGTTCATTTGATAACGCGTTTAGGGTTTGGACAGCGCCGTTCGTACTTTTCGTTCAACTTCATCTTCTGGTTATAATTCCTCCGTCTAGCCACCAGCGCCGCTCCCCCAAGTCTCTCTTCCCTCTATGGCCTGAGCTCAGTGGTCTTGTGATACGAGGTTTGATTTCAATGCTTTTGTTCTTTTTACGAATCGCGTGCTTCATTTCAGTTTGAATCTTAACCTTAATCTTTTATTATTATGAGGTGAAGGAGAAAAAGAGAGGGAGCAGATTGTACTACCTGACCTTGGAGAAGGAGGAGAGACAGGGGATGTGGCGCTCAGGAGGCCGGAACGAGCAAAGGGTGTTGAGGCGGAGATACGTGATGCTTGCTCCTTGGTAACTCTGTATCTGTATCTTTCTTCTTCTCTTTCGCCACTGTGTACTTGTTGCCTAGAGCTTTTGCCCAATGATGTTATACTGAGGGCTTTAGGTTGCCTTTGAATATATTGTTTTCTTCTGAGACTTTGATGCTTTGAATTGTTGCCCTGTGTAGCCTTGAGCGCTTTGCTGAAATACTTGTTTGAAAATGTGTTTCTGTGTTGACAGTAGGCCGGTATTTGGTGATTGACAGGTTGTGTTGGCTATGAGGTTATGGCTTCTTTTGTTTTGATGTATGCTCTGTATGTTTGTATGTTTGCTTGGCTTGATGAGGCTTGGCCTGGTAACTTAGGCTTCAGCAGGTGGATGCTTGGTTTGATGAGGCTGGGCCTGGTAACTTAGGCTTCAGCAGGTTAATGGTTGTTTGACAGGGGTTCAGCAGGTTATTATTTCTTTCTTGTCTTTTGAGTTATTGACAGGTTAGTGATGGTAGTGCAGTAGGTGTTATGCTTAGGACTTCGTTTCTGGTTTATGAGCTTTTGCAGGTTAATGGTTGTTTGACAGTATGGTGGGTTTTTGTATGGTTCAAGTTTGACAGTATGGTGAGTTTGGTCTGGTTTGATGTGTTTCAGCAGGGTCTTTTATGGTGGTTGATGTTTTTGATTCAGGACATTGTCTTTGAGGCTTGGACTCATGCAGGTTTATGCTTGCAGTAGGTTATGTGTTTGGTTTGAGCCTGTGGGTTTGTATGTTGAGGCAGAGTATATTTCCTTAGCAGGTTTTTGAGTTTTTTATATTTTCTGTCCTCTCCTCCTTTTTGCCTGCTGAACTGTGTTCTCTTTTGTATATCTTTTCTTGTATCTTCTGCCTAAGCCTGAAAACCTGCATCTGCTTACTTTATCTCTCTCTCTCCTCTTTCTCAGTACAGTTAGATATTATAATATGATTCTTTTCTGTACTATTTTCTGAAAGGGCTATTGATGGGAAATGATGATAAAAGGAAGCTTGCTTGCATATAGGATTTCCTCTGCATCTTTATCTTTCTTTGACAGCTTGCTACACTTTGTGATATCTTCCATATCTTTGCCAAATCTTCTTTTGACAGCTTGGGTAGATTTTGTATTTTGACAGTAAATTGCACTTTTTGATCTTTGATAGAAAGTTGGAATTGGATTTTCAGTTTGGTTTGAACTTACTTCTGAACTATGCAGTTTGACATTTTTAAAAAATATGCATTTTGACATTTTGCATTTATGATAAAATTCTTCCCTCTTTGTGAACCGGGAGAAATCTCGTGATTTGCAGAGAGGGTCAACTGATCCCAGTCAGTGGCCCTTAATGATGACTGCAAATTTTATCTGCCTTTAATTAATTCAACTGCTTTTGACTTTTCCTTTTCTTTTTGCAGATGAATAATGGAGCACCGGAGCGAAGTGAAGAATGAAGAATTAGAAATAGGATAGTTTTCTTTTTATTTAAATTTAAATCAATGTAAGACCAATGTTTGTAATTTAAATTCCAAACATCAATTGTACATTTAATTTAAAGATACATAAAAGTTTCCATTATTCTATTTTCTCTTTATTGCTTATTTATTTATTTAAAACTCTTGGAATTAAAACAATTGAAAAATAAATTTCAATCACTCAATTTAGAATAATAAATAACTTAAATGAAACAATGTCTTAGTAATATTGATCAATTAAACATGTCTTTTCCAATATCCAAAACAAAGCAGCAGTTAACCAAAATAAACTGATCAAGCGCATTCCTTTTTTTCACTGATTCTTTGCCAAGCACTGTAATTCCAAA